TTTGCCTGTAAAGAGCATAATTAAGATGATTACCAAGATCATATTTGTTTTGATGAAGAAGTTGCTCCTAGCTGTGTTTTTATTTCTGACTCCAGCTCAATTTAAGGAGGTAGCTGATCTTATGATAGACCTTCATTATTATTGTAGACTGTTTTTCCTCCACAGTAGTCATAACAGAGCAAGACAATGCATAACTTACAAAACAGAATTAATCAATGTGTTTGTGGTACACTTGCAGGTGTTTCCACTTGTTTTTCCTTGTTAGGTCACTTCCTGTGGAACATCTGGTGCTTTGGCTTCAAATTTTTGGAAGCACAATTTCCTTATTAATCTTCATTAGATTTTAGTAGGGTAGAAAAAACAAAAAATCAGCTGCGCTGCACTGCTGACCCCCTTGAACCACATTCAGTATCACGTCTTGTAATTGTAAACACAGCTGGCAGCGCTGCATTGTACTCAGCTGCATTCCTCTTCCATCGGCTTTGGAGAAGTTCGGCTTTAACCTGTGGCGAGGAGAGCAGAATAATCCAACTCATTCATTAAAGGTTAAAGTTGAAGTTCAGAAGAGGAGGAAAATCCTGTTCTGAAGTGAACAGGAAGCAGACTCCTACGTTTGAGAGGTCGGACTCTGATTCACATGAAAGCGGAGGACTGAAAAGCGTTACCCAAGGAGTTTTTGGTGGGAATTAAGAAGTTGCAGTTAACAGTGAAGGTCAGGTCCAGGTCTGAGAGAACAAAAGGCCTTTATAAGAACTCCTTATAAGATTTCTAGAAAAGCAAATCAAATCTTATGAGAGGCTGTTGAAAGAGTTTTAGAAAGATTTAGCAAACACAATAAATCATGTATAGTAAATGATGCTTTGTGTCCCATGGCACATGGAAGACCAGAGTAAACAGCAGCAAATCTTAAATGCAACAATACCTCATGTGGACCGACACTCTCAAGACTGTTTCTTTCATCACAATGACTGGCGTCTTAATCTGTTTTACCTACATGAATTTACTGAAGATCAGAGGTGTCAGTCATCTTCACTGAGGGCCACATGGCATCATAGTGACATCAATCAGTTGTAATTACTTCAATGTTTCATGTTTAACTACGACTAAACACAAAACGTCACAATCCTCGTCTCATTGTATGGTTGAGACAGGCTATCAAACAATAATTGAGCTCTACCCGGTACTTCCTGCATAGAAACAGTGTTTTAGCACGTCATAAACAGTGTTGTGTAAAACCCCAAAGTGATACTTGGGTAAAAGTACAAGTATCTTATCATAAAAATACTTTGGTAAAAGTTGAAGTCTTCAGTAAAAGTCTTAAAGTATCTGATATTTTTATGTACTTAAGTATCAAAAGTAAATTTCTGATACAAAATCTACTCAAGTATTAAAAGTAAAAGTACTGAGTAAAAGTGAGCGGTTAAGATTTTCCAAAATGACATTTATTGGGAGGTGACTTCTCCAAAAAACATTTTTTTCTAACGGCATGCAGCTGTGATGAACTGTGTACAAAGTAATACAATGTCAGAATGGTGTACATTTATACTTTTCATCCAACCACAATTAAATTCAATAGTATTTTCTTGAATAATAACAACAAGCAATTGGAGTAATAACCTTTTTTAATGTAAGAAGTAGAAAGCACAGATAATCATGTAAAAATGTAATGAGTAAAAGTAAAAAGTATGCTGAAAAATAATTACTCAAGTAAAGTACAGATGACCAAAATTTTTACTTAAGTACAGTAACAAAGTATTTACTTTACAACTCTGGTCAAAACACTGAAAAGTACTACGTGTACGACTGACTAAATGTGAAATAAATAAAACTGAAACACTATTAAAAGTAAAAGTAAGAGAATTATTCAATGTTGAGTTGTGGTGAGGAGCTGACATCTTTAATTTGGAACATTTCAATTTCCGACAGGAAATTCCCACAGGTGTGGTATTCTAGTTTTTACATTTTTTGACTAGTACAACTGGGCAGCAGCAAATAGTAGCCGACAAAAATGCACTGAAATGGAGATTTTATACAACGAATGCAGCTCGACCTAATGGTGGGATGCCATCTTATTGCTGGTAAAAATAATCAACATTCATTATGGGAGTTGTAGTTTATGGTCAATGCTGGTTTTAAAGCAGCCTACACTTATTTTAAGAAATGAATTCCTCTTTAAAGCTTTCATAGGCCACATAAAATGCTGTGGCCGTTCACATTTGTCTCGCGGGCTAAACTTTAGTTTGAGAGTTTGTAGATTGTTGTGTTTTTTTCTCATGCAAAGAACTGAATGAGATCAATGCATTGCATTAGAGACCGAGTTCCAAGGCTGGACTGTGGTTACAGGCACACTGCACCTAGCATCAAATCTTCATCCGTGGCTCGTCATCAGTCCTAGATGAGCCTTCAGAGCAGGCCACGGGACCTGTTTCCATACTGAGACAGTCAGGGGCACGTGATCTGCATCAACAAGGCAATCCATCATGAGAGATCAAGATCATGAGAGACAAGTTACCCAGACAATGGAGGCCAAGCCCCACATGAAAGAGTCCATGAGAACAACAGTAAGTCTCATGCAAACACTTCCTCTAGATCAGGGGTTCTCAAGCCATTTTGGTCTGGGGACCCCTTACAAGGGTGAAAAAAATTCCAGGGACCCCGCCATAAACCAAATTCTGTTTTAAAAGATAATTTATTGTCATTTCAACCCCTAACTGCCATGGGAATATATATTTTATGAAGTTTATTATGTTTGTTTTATTAGTTCATTGTTCTCCATGCATTTTTTTAAAATAAAAACCAAATCATTTTAGTAAAAATCTTTGAGGACCCCCAAGATACCTCTCACGGACCCCCGGTTTGAGAACCTCTGCTCTAGATCAGAAGTGCCCAATCCTGGTCATTGAGGACCACTGTCCTGCATGTTATACTTGCTTCCCTGCTCCATCATCTTGCTTATATATTCAAGACTTATCACCTTCTGCCATGGCTGAACTGTTGTGCTGATTTTAGAGGAAAATTTCCCATTTTCAACAGGAATCACACTAAATAACAACAAAGCAACAAAAAGAAACCACATGAGCAATAAACAATAAAACATTTCAGATTGTGTGGATTCCAAAGTGAAAATATTCCCTGATTTTCCAAAGGTTTTTGTGACAGAATCACGTGATTTAAATTTTTTCTAATGTTTCTGTATGTGACTGCACATTTTACATGGTCATTTTTAGCATGAGGCTGCTCACATAACGTCTGTGGTAAAACCGTTAAAATAAGAGTCTGTTTGTGAATAAACACATACCTCTTCAAAGAATGACAAGGCTAGAAAAGTAATGACAGGCCACATCTCCACAATATACCACAGTCATATGTTCACTCCTTAGCCAGAGCAAAATGTTTTCTGTCATTGACTGGAGCAGCATGTTCCTTCTACTGTTTTTATTGGCTGGAAACCAAAGTTTCTGAAGCCCTTACAATGAGATAAGCCAATCAGAGTGGCCAGCTTGGCTCTCAGGGTATCAGTGTCACTGTTTACTTAACCCTGTTCATCACAGATACCAAACACTTGAGTGTGTGCATGTGTGTAAATGTTTTTGTTACTTGGTGGGTACGATTTTGACCATTTTCCCAGTACACACAGCCTGGTGAGGATCCATTGTTCCTTATGGGGACAAAAGCCTGGTTCACATTGAGGAAAACACCTTTAATGGGTCAGAGGTTAGATTTAGGTTTGTACTGGGGTGGTTAGTTTTAGGGTGAAGAGTCAAGGTTAGGCTGTAGAAATGCTTGCAAAATAAATGGAAGTCAATGCAAAGTCCCCATGAGGATAGAAAAACCAATGTGTTTGTGTGTGTGTGCATGTGGTCTCAGCTTACAATCCAGTGTGTCATTGTCCGTACGTGGAACAAGCCTAGTATTTTAGGATGAACCAAAGATTTATGCACTTACTCATTGGGACGTGCCATTACACACACACTCACACACACACACACAAGCAGAAAGCCACATGTGTGTTGATTGCTCTTCCTCTCTCCCTTTTTTTCTTATTTTTATTTTTTATTTTTTTCAGAAACTGGACAGATGTGTCAGGGTTTGGGTAAGGGCCAGTTCCACAGATATTAGAAGTTCAGACACACACACACACACACACACACACACACACACACACACACACACAAGTAGAAAGCTGTAATTTCAGCCTTTTATTGACAGAGACATATCCAATCCCCATGAGATGTTCTCCGGTGATTATTTTACCACTTTCTCCTCCTGCAGTGAATCTTTTCTGCTCTATGGTCAATCTCACCTTCCTGTTTGGCACCATTTCTTGTCTAAATTCTACTATTTTTTTAACCTGAATTTTTGCCAGCCTTTTGGGTTGTGACTGAACCGATCACTGACATTAGAAATCCAAAAAGCCTCGTGGGCCGACAAATGACAGGTGGGTGGTGCAACCGCCTCATCAAGGTCGCTCTGACAATGTGTGTGAAGGTGGACAAATATGTCTGCTGCAAGTCGTTGCCTTGTATTTGACTGGAAAGGTGAAGAAAACGTGCAAAAAATAAAGTTAAAAAACTAAATAAAATAAAGGTGGGTTGCTCAGAGAAACGTAATGTGATTTTAGCCTTTCTGTATGCAGACATGACACCACGCCTGCACTGGAAATTCTCTCAGCGAAAAAGTCAACAAACAAAAGAGATTATGACAAAGCAAAAAGAGGTAATAGATAAAGAAATAGACGAATGGATAAACAGATGGATGGTTCAAAAATGAGAAGAACAGAAAAGGAGAGATAAATATGTTGTACTGTGTCTCCCAGACTGCAGAGATGACTGCAGCACAGAGGGAGGGACCCTCACTGAATACCAATGGACCTGCTATAGCAGCTTAATTCACACACACACACACACACACGCGCGCACACACACACACACACACACG